ATATTTACGGGTGATCCCATGGATGTCTCTTCTAAACGCCTAAACAGGACAGAGCCTGGTTAGTACCTGGAAAAACTACCAGCAAGAAATTGTGCTGAATCTTTGTTCATTTCTGTTCCAGCACCCTTAACTGAATTTCTTTGTTTCCACGATTCATAAAGATACATAATTCCTCTTTTTTTCCTTCATTCAAGGCATGAATCTCAAAAGCAGTGAATCGCTTTCAGCCAGGCATGATGGCTTCACCTGATAACCCCCATCACCCTATGCTACCTAAGGGGTTGGATCTAGAAATATTTCAATTCCTTCATTAAAATAAAAATCAAATAAAATCAGAAGCGTGTGTTTTTAACACTAGAACCAAGAAGGTAACCTACAATTTTTATATGATCTATTGTTTAAATAAATAATGTTTCAAATACATTACATCAAGATACAGCTGCAAGCAAGATATTTAAGTGCCTGCAAGATAAGTCTGCAAGATTATTGAAGCGATGGTATACTAACTCAGTTGGATGCTAGCCAATTTAGCTTAGCTTTTGTGGGAGATTGCATGAATGTATAGTAATTTAATATGGGGGCAATTACCTTAAAATTATTATCATTAGATGTTTTGCAACACAAGGCATGCAATATAATGTAAATATGTCACTGGTGTTCTAGCTTATATACCCACGAGAGGAAAGCAATTACATCTCTATGTCATGGGGGTAGCTAGTAGCAGTGGTCTACACAATGTAAACATGATAAACACTCCTGGGTACAGACCTGTAGAGTTCACTTTGTTTAGGAAATATCCATCAGTTGATCCTCCTTCTAACCTCTATCCTGGCCAGGGCTGCAGACTGGCATGTAGCCGTAGTCCCCCTTGAAATATGAAGTCAAGAAGTTTATTGTCATATGCGTGATGAAACAATCAGTTGCACCATACAATCAAAATTTTACTTTGCATGTTCCGTCTGGCACATTTGATACAGATCAAACATAAGACACAATATCATAGACAGACAGAGTGCAATGCAAACATATAAACATTCAGGACAGGAGCCAAATATACAAAAAATATACAGATATAATGTTATACAGAAATTCCTCAAGTAGAGGTCGATAGGTTGTTTCACCCTAAACAGTGTGCAAAATCTATCAACCCACCCCCCCCCCCCCCCCCAATCATCAGTAGGGTTGCTGGACCCCCCACAATTTTTTTTTTTCTGGCTGTGGGCCTAGTTGGAGATGCTTTTAAAACAGATGAAACCAACTAGAAAATATCGAGACTCATCCATATTTATGTCTGTTTACGAATGTTACATATACTTAGGATACATTTCACTATCAGAATAGTGTACATTTCTACAGTTTAAAATCACTTAAGCAGCCCATTTGTGGTACCACAGTAACTCAGCGGATTGCCCTGTTGCTTTACATCTCCAGGCTTTAAGATTCAAATCCAGTTAAAAAATGTGTGATTAGGTGAAATGGTGTCTCTGTTATATCAGTTTTGTGTTTGTGCTCATCCTGTCATGGACTCGAATCCCATCCAGGGTGTGTTGCTGCCTCATTCCCTGTGTGCTCTGGGTAGCCTCACTGTGATCCTGCACTGGAAAACTGGTTTATGGATGGATGGATGGATGGATGAATGGATGTAACACTGTTCAGCTTTCATAGATGTTATTTTCCCTCGCTTTCATAAATTTTGCCACATTCTGGGTCTCTGGCTAACACCGGAGACCAATATCAGAAAATATGCATAAATATAAATTTGATTTATTTCAGCTATAAAATGATACTACACACAAAAACTGTATTATTGAACAAAATTAATATACAGCACACTTAATATAATGAGAAGTTTGTTCAATTGAGCATTACTAGACATGGACATCTTATTAAAAAACTTTTGTATAGAAAAGGTGTATTGCCATCATGGGCAGATGAAGATGGCCAATGGGCCAGGGCAATCGTTCAATGGCATCATTCAAGTGGTGCTACATGGCACCCACATGACTGCATATCTGAGCAGGTGACTCAGATTTTGCCCAGGGTGCTAAGAATGCCTGAACCACCACTGACTGGCATATTGAACAACAATAGAATAAAATCAGGAGCACCTGCCCCATAACTATGGCTTTATTCCAAGATAACTATGACCTGGAGCTTGCAGACATTACTGCTTCTTAACAGTAAAAACTGAAGACTTTTAACAGAAGTCTGCATTCTTCAGTAATGTGTGGATCTTCAACACTTTTTGTTCAGTACAGGGTGTTGTGGGCCCTCTAGTTTGGTTCACTTAAATTATTTAAAGCATCAGTTCCAGCTCAAAGCTTGGTGCTGTTTTGATTAAAAAAGATATTTATGCAATGTTAATTTTAGTGCTGAATCCTCGGTTTTTCACCTTTTTGCCTTGAGAGAGGTTGCTCTATTGAATGTGGAGTTGTTTAAAGGAATAAAACACAATGTTATTCCACAGCAGTTTGAAACAGCTAAGTAATAAAAATGCTTTATTTGCAAGTATAATCAAGTGCAACTGCCTTGTGGTGGCCATATTGTTCCATGCTGCCAATACTGGTTTCTTGTTCTGATGACACTGCCAGTGGCAAATAATTTACAATGTACTGTTGTCAAGATGCCAAACAGTTTGCAGAAAGACTTTTGCATGGCCTCTGGGTTGCATTTTGTGGAGTGGCAATACTCTGAAAAACGATCCAGTGAAAATCTTAAATGAAAGACATGTTCATGTTTTTATGTAAAAATAACATTTATGTAAACAGATGTTTTTTTTTTTCATCTTTAAATTCTGCAATGTGTTGACTAATTGGCAAAAACTAATGTGAACAAGAACCTACATTGTCTAACGAAGTCTGTGTTAATGACAAAGTGGGTTTTCCTATGAAGTCAGATACTCATTGGCATGTTTCTGTAACACTTAAATTTGACTGCCTTTGCATTTTATATAAAACCACATGATGAATTCAATGTCAATAATAACCATTGAGGATATAGGGATATTTTTTCTAATTGATATCAATATTATCATATTAATGGATTTCACATTTTGTGACAGAAGTAAACTAGACTGTATGGTAAAAATAATTCCAGTATAATTCATAAAAGATATTAAAGTAAATCTTCAACACCAAGTGCCCAGAAACTGTAGCACAGATGGAGCCCACAGCCTGCGCCAGTCAAGGGTGCCACCTTGCAAGGGGGTGTAAGTTTGTCTCTTCAGCTCGCCAGGGGAGTGCTCCATGACCGGCATTGCCAACTATGTACGTGTGTGTGTGTGTGTGTGTGTGTGTGTGTGTATGTGTATATATATATATATATATATATATATATATACACATACATACATACATACATACACACACACACACACACACTCTCACACATACCTATATATAGGTAAACCATTGATTTGTCAATTTTTGGTGTTAGATTTGAAGTGTCAGAAATCATATTTTGACAATGGAATGTATATATAAGATATGTGATATTAAAACACAATATTTACTTCAATACATTTTTTTAGTATTTTTATTACCAACAAATAACTTTCCAATTTCAGAGATTTACAAATAGTAGCATTTTCACTACAATCATAAAAGAACTTAAGCAATGAAGTATTCAAAAAAACTTTCATAAAGTTACACTGTCCCATTACAACCTTCATTTAGCATTTTAAATTAAAAATCAGCCCAAAAATCCATAACTTTGTACCATAAAAAGGAAAAAATACCAGTAATTTAATAAACAAATTTCTCCCCTAACAATTGGATGCAAAAAATGTAAACGATTGTCTTTCTAATCATCCGCATTTTGTGATATCATACTCACTTGTATTCATAAACAAGTTATCACCACTTTGCTATACAAAAGTATGCAGTGGAATGCTTGTTTGGAAAATACACATTTACATCACAGTTTTTACTGTTAAGAAACCTGGGAATACAGTACAGCACAATGCACACATTTCAGTAAGAACACAACAGCAGTGCTCTGGACTGTATGTCCAACATAAAAATGTAAAAATGTTTAAAATGTGTTGTACTCTTCTTGTTGTGAACACAATTTTGGGCACTTTTGTGTAACCAAATAACATTTAAATCAGGAGTGGCCAGTCTTATCCAGAAAGGGCCGGCTTGTATGCGGGTTTTCACTGCAACTCTCTAATTAGATTACTAATTAGAGGACTGATTGGCTGGAGTCCTCACACCTGGGATTGAACAGCTGACCTACAGGTTATCCCAAAAACCTGCATACACACTGACGCTTTGTGGATAAGATTAAATCAGGGGTGGCCAAATACTTAGACAAAAAAAAAAAAACACAAATTAAATGTAACATTCCACCATCAGGCATATCATTTAAAATATCTTCCTTCTTCAAATCTGTGCCAGCCTTGAAGTGACCCATATCACTAATTTTTCTCTGTATGTTTAAAATGACGACGCTCACATTCCCATATTTGTTCATAAACCTCCATCCTCAGTCATTCCATATTCACTCTGTTACACCATAAGACAATCTGAGGAAACCAAATCTGCTTCAAGCTTGAATCCCAAAATCAGCCAAATGATATGCAGATGATATTTGTATTATATTATATATGAATTAAGAAATATATAGAACGGCTCGGGGCTCTCGGATTTGGGAACTTTGACCAATGACGTAACATGCAGAAGTTGTGGGGGGCTGGTGCAATTCTTATTGCTGGCCTTCAAAATTCTAGCATGTTCCTCTAGGCCAACCCAAGTCCGACCCCCAACAAGTGAATGGCGTCACTCAGACTGGAGCTGATAGCCCTGAGCTATGTCACGGTTAGAGATAATGCAGCGGAGGCTCTCTGAGCTCAACAATGCCCTGAATATGTAAACAAAAATGCAGTGTTCCCCAACTCCAGGAAGTATACTTACAGATGAATAGCTATGCAGTTTATGATTATGGCACAGAAACAATTTCAGAATGTGCTTCTACTGATTTACAGAAAGACGACGAAGAAATGGGGATACAATGTTTAATGTCAGTGACACCAGTTACCCAACAATGCTAACAACGTACGTTTTGGCACAAAGTGTTAAAATAAATGTATAATTATAGCAACATTTATTTCTTACAATGTCTGCAGCCAGCTGCAATAACAATCCCCAGTTCCAGGATTCATACAATTTTTTGTATGAATTTCATGTTTACAATCCAGTGTTTATTCTTGTGTTTAGATATCATAAATACAAAATATATTAAATACTACTACACAAGACAAACCCTCTCTCCCAGTAACTTAAAAAATAATGAATCCCCTTGTGGATGAAGTTGAGAGAGAGAAAAAAATGTGTCCTTAAACTGGCATTTGTGCAGCTGTAGGACTGTACAGCTTGGAATGTATGTTAGTTACTGTATGGTATTAACCAATAAACATTTAAATACTTTAAAGCCATCCAATCAACAGGCATCCGATTTTCAATTCTATTAATGGGTCAGAGCATTTACAGAGGAGTACACACAAACATACAGCTCCTATCTAAACATGACAGATAGCAGATAAACTGGGAAGGTTCACTGGTGATCTGTGAAAGGACAAAAAAATAATACATATGTATCTTAATACTCCCAAATGGCATTGAGCCAGCTGTGTAAGTTCAGAGTTACAATGAATTTTAAGGCAGGGAGAAGTTAACACTAGGCAGATTGGGACCCAGACAGTGATAACATTTGATGGTTAAATTGGTACACATACCAGTCAAATATGGCCTCATGTTAAAAATGTTCAGTGCAAAGGATTTTCACCAGATGGACTACACTTCTGACTGGTATGGCTATAATTAATTATAATTATTATTATCACTATTTTTACGTCACAGAATACTTCATTGCTCATAACGATTTACAACAGCAATAACCAGTACTTTTTTGTGATGGCACATGCGAGTACTGCACATTGGAAACTTTTAAAATTAAGAGGCTGTTTATAATAGCATACGTATTTCTTTTTGTTATTCATAATTTATTGACAGCTACTTATATTGTACTTATTGAGATCTACAATGTATGTGGTTCAGAAACTTTAGGTTTGCAACAGAAATGGCATATGAAATCAAATTGAGTGTACCAGCACCATTTATTTAAAAAAAAAAAAAACTGGCAATGGAAATTATTATTAACATCCAAAATTCATCTTACATGCTATGTGCAACCAGGGTTCTCCTGTTTAGAAACTGATGTTAAAATCAAATCACACTGGATTTTTAAAATAATGAAAATTTAAAGTTGGCAAGAACAACGCTCTGGATGAGGAGGAAAACAGTTCTTAAATAACGGCAGATTCATTTGTTTTAAATGAACATTCCCAGTTCATACTGCTAAAATGTTCTAATGTTCTCATCACAAACATGAAACCAAAAAATAAGTAGAAATATTTTAGTAAATGGCTCCCTTTGAAAATGACCCTCAGAGATTTCCTGTTTTTACAGCTGTTATAGCACCCATACACCCCAACTCTACATAATAAAGCTTCAACGCAAGAGGTCTGTCTTTGTGCAAAGTAAAAACAGCATCAGATCTAACCCTGTTCTTCTGCTGCTTGCTTGTGACATTCATGGGGTTGACATGGGGAGCCGTGCTGTCAGACTCCGACAAGAGAAGCTGCGGGGACCCCCTACTGGTGCAGGTGACACGTCCAGGAACGTGGCTTCAGAAGGTCCAAGAAGGACGGCTAGAACACACAGGCAGCACAGACAGAGCAACAGGTCCTCAGTTAGCACATTAGCAGAATTAACTGCTGCCTACACCCCACTTAAAACAGAGTTGGTTTCCCATGGGATTTACCCTTAGATTGAGCAGATACTGCCACAATACAGGCTTGCAAGAGGACATCAAACGCATTATAGTGCAGAATATGTGTCATTGTCACTATGGGGAGCAGGGCATTCTGTTGCTCTGCTCCCCGACTCTGGAACTCCCTACCAAAAGACATTAGAAATATCAACTCCTTTTCTCTTTTTAAATCTAAACTCAAAACGCACCTTTTTAAAAGTGACTACTCTCTGTGAATTCTTTTAATAATAATAATAATAATAATAATTTACACTTTATTAATCCCCATGGGGAAATTCTTTTTTACGCCTCCCTCAACTTGCTCTTTGTAGAGCAAGCTGTCCGCGAAGGGCAGCCACCTGTAGCGGCGCCCAGGGAGCTTTTTATACTGTTTTAGTTTTGTAATTTGTTTTTATTCTGATTGTTCTTATTCGTTGTGTAATTCTGTGCAGTGTCCTTGTGTGCTCTGAAAGGCACCTTTAAAATAAAATGTATTATTATTAATATTCATAATAATAATAATTATTATTATATTATTATTACCTGCTCCAAAGGGCAATAGCTCTGTGCATACCACTCCTGGGAATAGAGGCAGAGCAGGACACCCTGGCCCAGGAAGAGCGCAGTCCACATGATCACGTTCCAGATTGGGCCCTTCCTCCGGTCATGCAGGATGAAGTTGAACATCACTAAGGATAGAGGGAGGAACAGAAGGGTGCTGAGTGTAAACCACAGCGGAAAAAACAGGAACAAAAGACCCCCTATAAACCAGCAGGCTGTCGTTCCCTCACAGAAAATTATGCCTTTTAAAAGATCAGAGGTCAGCATTTATGTCACATTGCGCAAAAAGTTAAAACATTAAAAAAAATATGCAAATTAAATACATAATTAAATGACTGCATGATACAGTAATTTTAAATTCTTCCCACTAGTTTTGATCTATAATTGTTTTGGTGTTTGCTTCAGTAGGACCTGTGCCATGTCCAGAAGGTTGTACGATTGATCATAAACCTGAATTGCTCCAAAGATGCAGGCTGACCCTGCCGTCTCACAACCAGCTTTCCTCACTTGTATGCTACTCCAGACAAAACTGTTCGCTACATAAATGGAAATGTAAAAATCTGAAAGGAAATTAATCTGCTAGGTTTTAGCATATATTATCTGGCATGGTCTTGCCACATCAAAACCTCAAGGAGCAGCTAAAAACTCACTCCCAAAGCACATGAAGAGGGTGAAGAGGACAGGGTAGAAGAAGCCGAAGCAGATGGCAAGGATGTATTCATGCACAACTGCAGAAACGGTGAAGACGACCAACATGACCACCGCCCTGAAGCGCTTCTCTGACATCTATGGTGGGGGAGAGAGGACACATAACAGAAAAGACATTAGCCCTGGCTGTCAACTATTGTGTGACAAAATAAGTCAATTGGCCCTGCCCTGAAGTAAAAGACAACCTGCTTACCCACAGTAAGTCCCGGTAGACGTAATAATATAGCCAGTCATGAACCACAACATTCCACGTCCGATAGTAATTGGCAAAAGATGTTGAGTTCCACCAATCCTGAAACAGAAATGTGATTTAATGCCCATGTTTCATTACACCAGTAACACTTTATTTAATGGGCCACAAATACTTAGTAATAACTCAGTACTGAAGTACAAATCATAAACAAACCAACAACAAATACAGGGCGCTTTTCCACCATACCAAGTGATGTTTTTTGGTATTTTGAGGAAGTACCAAAGTAAAGTACTTCAAGGTGCTTGTTTTCCACTGGTGTAAAAACTGGTATTTTGTACTAAAGTTGAAAAATGGCTGTATTATATTATACGGCTGAACAATATCCAATAGTAATACCAACATTGCATATTATGCACATGCAATTCTTACATCGCTAGTCAGATTAAGATCAGGCTTTTTCTTACTTTCAATTCTGGAGGGACATTATAGCACATTATTGCTAAGACATTTTTAAAAGAGTCATAGAAAAAAACCCTAGTTAGCTTTATGATTTTAATTATCATTCCTTTTATATTGCAATAAATCTTTGTTTACTATGTTTATCATTGTTTTCCGAGTTCGCAACCGTTTTCAAGATTGCGGTTGCATTGTGTTTCAGCGGCAGGCCATTTGCATGACCAATCAACAAAGAAAGCACCTGTAAGTCCCAAAGTACCGAAGTACCAAAGTAGTACCCCAGCTGGTTTGGCATTTTTACTACTGGACCATTTGGTACTGGTACTTGACTGAAAGTCAATGGCAAACGGAAAGTACGATAAGCACTGTACAAAAAGTACGGTACTTGGTGTGGTGGAAAGGGTCCATAGTTGCTACTTGAGATAAAAGATGCTTCACGATTCATTAATGATGAACAAACATGAGATCAATATTTCACTTGTGATATTCATTACTTGTTCCTTCAGTAGTTCACAATCGTTTACAGAATAAATAGATAATAAATACTGTAAGTGCTCGGTATGAAAGATGCATCATGATTCATTAATGATAAACTATGCAATCATTATTTAGCTTATTCATGACTTCTTCTTTCAGAAGTTCCTTAAGTTCACAAAGGATAACAGAATTAACAAATATAGTAACAAATATAGTAACTGTTTCAGATAAAACATGCATCACGATTCATTAACGATGAATTAACATCAGTATGCAACTAAGATTTGTACATAATACTATATTATTTGTGCCCCATCAAGTGTTACCATTATAGCAGTCTATGAAAAAACACAAAACTACTTCCAGACAGCTCAGCTTATTAACAATACCCTAAAGAAGTGTATTAAACATATGTGAGTTTTGTGTTGGTCAAGGAGGAAGTGAACACAAAAGAAGACGCTTCCCAGTTTCAGTACCTTGTAAAACATCCGGTCAGCAAATCGCAGCATCTCTGCAAAAGCGTTGAGCCAGCAGTGCAGGAAGGCAAAGAAGGCCAGGAAGAGGACCAGCACTCCTGGGGAAGCAGATGGGAGTGGTGGCCAACGGCCATTCAGCGTGGAAGGCAAGGCTCCACCAAAACAACCCACATCTATCACGTCAACATTCTGGGCATGCTCAGTCACCCAGTACAATTTCCCATGTCTCCATTGACTGGAAGACAGAAGCTTCAGGGGCACTGGGTTAGAGCTGGGACATGTGCCTAAGGAAGGAGGGGGTACCTGGCAGGATGGAATTGAAGACACAGAGGACCATAACCCGCAGGTCGAAGATCTTTAGGCTGATGCTATGGAACTGGGGGATGCAAAGACGGACAAAGACATAGTAGGCGTAGAACAGGCACCCCAGCACCTGAAAGACAGCCATGGACCATCAGTGACTCTCCGGCCACATATATGATGGGACGCATGTGGTACATGGACACAGACGATTAAACTGTACCTGTAGGAACTTAGTTACCACATATCCCCATCTGATATATGGGTTCCTGCCAAGAAAAGGAATAGAATTACATTAATAATCAAGGCAAGAAAAAAGTTACTGAGATTTCTGTTTCAGAAAGAAATATGCATTGTGCATTTCAAATCAGATCCATTCACTCACATTCTGCTGGTAATTGGCAATTATTGTGGAGACGTTTTTGATGTAAATTCTGTCTTACATATGTCTCACCAGAATGCCATTTGCACGCGTGCCAACAAAGCACAATGCCACTTTATTTGAAGTACATATTGCTTATTTGCTATTTATCTCTTGGCTAGATTTAAGACATTTTTTAAAAAGTTTTTAGTTATCTGTTTTTATTTAAACCAACGCACAGTCTCAGGAGTGATTCAGGGTTGCATTTCATGTTGTACATGTATAACTGCGCATGTGACAAATAAGCTTCTTGAATCTTGAATGTAGCATTGTGGGATTCTATATTTAACTGTCCCTCTGCTTTAGAACAACTTCATCAGGTGACATCCTGTGACACATGATGAGTCACATGATCTGCTCACCTGGGGTAACTGTCTCTGTAAATGAGTGTGGGAGCGAACAGGAAGTACAGATACTGAGTAACTTGTGGCATTATAAGGGAACCTGGGAAATGGGGGAAGAAAACACTATGAAATAAAACACAATGCTACAAACATCATGAAAAGTAAGAGTTACTTGTCAGTCCATGCATGGACTGTGACAAAGGAGGGAATTAGATCATTTGCATCAACTTGTTGATTTACTGGACTTGTCTTGAGCAAAGGCCAGCACCCTCGGAACGTTCTCCCTGATGAAGGAGTATGCTTTCATAATCAGCCGGACCTGTAGGGGGCAGTGTACGCAAGCTCAAGGTCATCAAACTGGAAAAGAGGGATTCGGTAGGATGAGTAAAACACACAGTTACGAGTACTGCAGGATGTCTGTCTACCTGTTCGAGGATGATGATGAAGCGAGAGGCAGGGGGCAAGTTGTTCCTCAGCACCAGAAACGTGGGCAGAAAACCCAGGACCACCCCCTGGTACAGCATGAAGAGAAACCCTGCCAGCAGCGTGCGCAGGACGCGGTGCCGAGATGACTTGTACCGACTGGCCCAAATGTGGAAAAGGCCGTAAGGTACCACCAGCACTGACAGGAACATGCAGAACCAGATCGAGACGACTAGAGGGAGCTGCCCAAAGGCATACACTAACAAGTCAAAGTCCAGCACCAACCTGGCGAGAAACCACAGAGGGTAAACAGAGTCACGATGGGAACCAGCAGCACCAATCACCATCTACCAACTCATCCAAGTGTAAGCTGGCCCTGAAGGACACATTGCATCATTGTACATGCTGGTTTTTCATCTTTATATATACACTATTAGGTACAGTTGAACTCATAAACCAAACATTTAGCTATTGTGCAACGGCAAACTGAGTCACAAAAAGCCACACCCCTAGCAACACATCCTAGTTGTCGTATTATTCATTTTAAGGTTATGACAGTTGGTTCATTAGGGCCACTTTCATTGTATTGCTTTCATATCCAGACCAGTCCTCGGAGGAGTGCAAAACTTGATTCCTTTTTACGATTTCTAATAAAATTACTAAAACAATATAAGGGATATATACCTATACCATAAGAATAACCTTCTCATGCCTCAGGATAAAAAACCAGCTTTGATTAAATGAACAAGATGCTTGATGTTTCAGTAAACGGGGTTAGGTAGAACCTCCCACCTGCCTTCATCAATAAAGTCGACCACCAGGGTGCTGAGGATGAAGAGGATGAGCAGGGCAATGAACATGTGGTAGATGGTGCGGATATGGTTGACCTCAAACAGCTCACTGTTGGGGGAAGAAAGGAGAAAAAATTAGTATGTGAAGGGAGGGGTAACCACACCCTGCAGCCAGGGGCTGTGCATTACCCCTAGATATATAATATGTAGAGACACCCAGAGTTTACACACCTCTATGTACCAATTCTAGGCAATGAATGAAAATACCAAGCAATCTATGCAAAACCAGTGCTCACATGATGTCACAAAGCTCATCTGCATATAAAAGCCTGCAGAGGCTATAGGAGTGCAACAATTTCCTAAAACCAGCATCAGTTTATAGAGCCTGAGGCTATATGCCAGGCTATATGCCAGGCTCTTCTTTCAGGCGTACAGTATTTTGACACAAAGACACTACAGACTTGCACATGTGCCCTTTCGAATGGAGAACTGTTTTCCCCAGTCTTAACTCTCCAAAACATAAGATACACTTCACTATAGTATTGCTTAAGGGTCAAATCCTTGGCACGTCAACCTAAGAAACTCATCCACAAAACATATGAATCATATGAAATCGTTCCTTCTTTGGACAATCAGGTCTGGTGAGACAGTCCAGACACACCCATGTGTAACATCTCTTTCATGTAAGTTTGGATAATAATGCAGGCCACACACTTGCTTTATGGGAAGGCAGCAGCCACGTCTGGAGGGTAAAGCCAGAGCGCAAAATGCAACAAGAAGTAAAAAATAAAGAAATAACTTACTCTAACAGGGATCGGCGACTGACAAACACTTTCCCCTGATCCGGAGAGGGTTTCATATGTCTGTTAATAAATGAAAAACAAACAGACAAAACACGCACAAAAGAGATGTTTATATCAGAGGAGAGCGATATATACAGAGAAACTGGAAAAATCAGTCTGCTGACAGAAGCAGGGGGCCAGAGATGAAACACAAAGACGGAGATTCCTGAAAAACCAGTGGAAACACCCCTACCTTAGTTTGCTCCTCTCCTTGTCAGACATCGCTGGAGTCGTGATTAAGGCGGGCTGCAGAATGGAGGACTCCTCAATCAGGCAGTCCATGAACTCGCTCACCTGGGAGTCAAAGCTCTTCAAAAGGTCCGATTTCAGGTGCTGCCATCCAGGAAGAGATGATATTAATTATATATGGTTACACGTTTTATCTGCTTAGACTGTGTGTTTCACATGGGAACTAGCAAGCTGTCTAAAGGGCTTTGCAGGGAAGCACAACATCATCAGTCCAGCAATTAGGGAAAGACACACAGTGAGTCTCTCAGTTTCCTTAATGAATTTCTGATGAGGGCTACCTTAATATAGACAGCAAAGACCAAGTTTCTAAACATTTATAGAATTCCTGAACACAACACAGGCCCCATTCACACTTGGGATTAAAATGTATCTTGGGCAGTCGGATCACATCTGGGGAGCACTAACCAAAAGCTCAAACGACCGTGAAGATACATACTTGCTGTGGTGGTCTGGGATGCTTCTGACCACAACTTTCATAGTGTGAACGCTAATGTGTACTGATTCGTCCCCGGCAAGGATGTCACAATAACTGTATGTGGGGGTGTAACGAAATCTGAACACTAGTGGTCATGCGGACACCTTGGTATTTCACAACGCAGTTGAAACTTAAGAACTTCCTTTCTTGATTCACAAATTGTTTTGGCTGCATGACTACTCCCATATTCATGCTCCGTGTTTCACTGGAAGAGCGAGGCAGCACAGCATGGGTGCGTGTAACGGGGCAGTTCTGGAAGCACAGCATATGACGCCTTGGGATGAGACGCCCTCGGCGACAGTTAGGTCGACTTCCCATTTGTGCCTGACATCATAACATTGGTCTCTCACTTCCCGTTTCCACTCGCAACAAACTCAGGAAACTGCCTCCAACGTAGACAGACAATGGCGCTATTCTGAGAATTACCTTGATCTTTCACACGGACTTGACAACCAGCAATATCTTAACATATGAACTATATGCAGGGGGCACAGTAGTGCCATGTATTGCCTCACACCTGCGTGTGTGGAGTTTGCACGTCATAGCTGTACTTTGTCAGCTTCCACTGGGTAATGTGGGTTCCTCCCACGCAGTCATGCTACCTGATGCCCGTAAATTGCCCGCGGCGTTCATGTATGGGCCCTGTCACTCACCCCAACCAGGGTGCACCACAGCCCTCTGCCTTGGACACCTCCATCATCCTCACCAGGATGAAAAGAGTTAACAGTTGAAAAATGGATGTGTCACATCTGCAAACACTATTTAATATAGGTTTCTCGTTTAACACAATTGTTTACAGATACAGTCTAAAGACAGTAGCAGGTTTTGCTGACATTTGCTAGAACAGGAAAAAACTGAAATGTAATACAGTGCGTAAGCACACAGACTGCTGAATTCGCTGTTTTGGGAAATTCTGATTTCGTTGTTTCTCCGTATGTGTACCAAAGTTCCACTTAGAGTACAGGCTTACTCCATTCTGACTGAACAATGGCAGCAGTGAGGACACCAGCTTCCACATACAGGGTGACAGAGGGGCCTGGAGCCTATCCCAAGCAGCACAAGGCAACACATGCGTCCATTCATTTCTATGGGCAAAAACCTAATCCCAACTATAACAATTTTAACCCCTAACACAACCCAAACCTTGACCATAAGGAACCAAACAAAATACAAAACTTTTGAAGTTTAGTTTTTTGATAGCAGTCATAGATTTTTATAAAATTTCCCCTGTTTGAGGCTGAAAAAAACTGTCCCCACAAGGTCAAAATAACAGGTTTTTGATCACATTGCAGAGACATTTGGTCCCCATAATGTAATATATACATGCCACACACATGCACACAATGCATATTTCAGAGATGCCAATTCACCTAACTGTGTGTTTTTGGAGTGCAGGAGAAAACCAGAGCAAACTCACAGAATGCAATGAAAATAAGTTTACACACACAGAAAGTGGGTTTGGACCCCAAAAGCTAGGAGTTACGAGGCAGTAGTGCTACCTCCTGAGTCACCATGCTACACCCTGGTAAACGCCATCCATCCATCCATCCATCCATCCTGTAACTGCTTATCCTGGTCAGGGTTGTGTAGTGGCCTGGAGCTGGGAATGCCCATCCATCACAGGGCACACACCCATTCAAACTAATTAGCCTAATGGCAGGATTTCACTCAGCAGGGTTATCTACCAAGCCACAGTGCTGCCTTTACTCGCAAAACCACAGTGACCAGCGGCATGCACCAGTTCTTCAACATTCACACATAGCTGGTTGTACAATAACCCACAATCTGACAAGACAGTAAGTTCTGCTTCACTTTACTATAGAGGAAAATAGCCATTTCCTCCAAAACGGTATAGTCCATGGGCGTCGTTAGGTCCGATCACTCAGGGATATAGCCCCATGTATTTTAAGCGGAGCCCCAAGTATTTTAGCCCCGATGCCCATCTTTCTCCAAAAACAAAAAGCCAAGCCCCAGGTAAACTTGACTTAGCTCCTGAACATTTCAATAGCTAAAAACTCCCCTGGTATAGTCCAATACCATGATACCAGTCTTTCCATTTTAAATATGAAGTAAAAGTAAAAGAAACATTTGTTCCTCTTCCATGACTACTGATCCAGTACAAGGGTGAGGTGATCCTGGACTAGAGGGCAGGGCATGAGGCAGGAGACACCAGGGATGAGATCACGCTTTTTGACAGGGCAATGAGGAAACAGAGAATCACCTAACATGTTGGAGGGCTGCAGGGTATCAGCTGTTCAGCATGTGGACGACACGCATTCTGAACTGCCAGCACTGGGGGTGCGGGGTGCTACCCACAGAGCCAGTGGCATGCAGAAGTTATTTCATATAATTATTAAACCATAAAATGCCTGAATAACCGTTTTGCAAAACAGTTGACATGATCAATGACAGGTTTCTTGCATTACAGTAAAGACTCAGACAGCCTGATAAACTTATACTATGAAATCTGCAGTCAAACATGTGTGTGTCTTTGCGGCTATGATAGAGATATGAGGCAGCTTGCTGTAGCTTGAGGGTTTAGCGTGATAAGATGGCTGAGGAATGAGATCTGGCTGTAGAGGGCGTTTCAGCAGCACCAAGCATGGGCAGCTAATGTGAGGATGAGAAAGATGTGGAAGATATATGATGAACTGACACTTAGGCTGAAAAACCAGGCAGCACATCACCAACAAATTCAGCACAAAAGCATCCAAACAGAGCCTGCAGTGGAAGATGTCATGAATAGTGTTTGACTGCAGTGACCAATTTGTTTTTGACATACACCTGCATTTTGCAGTAGGTTTCTCTACCCTGTAACCTGAATATCAGATGAAATGTACAATTTTACTGAATTCCACAGGTTTGTTTGGGGCCATTTTACGAGCTATTTACCTCTGCTTTCATCTTCAGTTGTAGTTTCTTACTAATGATATGCTCTGTCTCCATTTTTCCTGAAATGGTAAAAACAAACAAAAAAATAATTAATCCTCTGATAAACACTTATTCTAGGTTTCACTGGTATCATTCCAGTACTGTGTTTGTACCCCAATGCTCTCATCACATTAGAACAAATATTTATTGAAATTAGTCTTTATTCCACAAATCTGGAAAATATTGCTTTGAAATAAATGGCTGAACATCTGGTTTATAACTCCTGAAGCAATATTTTATAGTGATACAGAAACACGCTGTCAGTCTAACTTCATTGGTCAGCACCATGCGAACATGACTCATCAGACCCCGCAGTGTTGCCAAGTAACCAGGAAAGTACAATATTTGATCAGCAGACAGACCAGGAACACAAGCTCCCATTTCCAGGTGGGGGACAGCATCAAGATACTAGGAAGCTTTGCTGGCAATATGAACATCTATTTGGAGACGGTCAGACCAGCCAAATGAGAGTTGGAGTAATTGCTCAGAAGGTAAAAGAGTTAGTCTTGAATTATGAGGTTATTTACAAAGAATCACAAAAAGAAAACCAATCAGAGGAACCATTTCAAATGTCACACTGGATGAGAATTTACACCATGTCCTTGCAGATAAAAAAAAAAAAAGTTAACTCATCATTGAGATGAAGGTCATTGTAGAGAGAGCCTTCAACTTTTGGTAATTAATCATACAGCAGCCAGAGGACAGATATACAGGACTGTCCTGGTGACTTAAAGACCTCACCTTGATCTCAATTAGCTCAGCACCAGCCTTGAGGTATGAAGGGAAAGAACAGAGTGATTTTACCATAGAAGAATGCCATAACTCAATAACTAAGGATTTCATGCAGCACAGCCAAGTGAAAAGTTACACAAAGGTTCACTGCGACACTAAATAGAACAAATGTCACTGATGACGAAGTAAAACAAATATTATGCATGTGTAACTGATACCTCTGAATGAAACAGGAAGTACACCAATGAATAAGTAGGTAACAGGTCAGACAGGCACATGACTCCATTAAGCAACATCCAAAAGAACTTCATATCGATCGTATATTACTGCAATTCAAAGTGGAAGCTTAACTCTTTACGTTATAACAAGTTCTGTGAAGAGAATTTAATTATACTTAAAACATTTTTTTTTTTTAAAACACCGCATCTATGACATATGACCAAGCCTGGAAGCAAGCACATTTGCTTATTTTACCAGAAGTTGTGCTTTGGTTGAATTGCTCAAGGAAGATAAAATTTCACTCAGTCACATGTTTGGTGCATATCTAGTGGCTGACAATGGAGTCTGTCACACGCGAAACACTGGGTAACTGTGTGTTAAATCAATGTCTGATTAACTCACCAAATGCTAAACTGTAAAAGTCAGAACACGTTTTTAGGGTTAGGACTTAGCACATGACCAGTTGCAGAGGTTAACATTTGGAGTTAAACCTCAGCTTGGTATAGTAGCTTTTCCCTCTCAAGCTCCGTTCCATTGGCACACATGTTCAGTTCTACCTGGTCATCATCATATACCAGTATTTCCAAATTTGGTCCCTGGGGACCCACAGACAGTCCATGCTTTTGCTCTACCTGGAGCTGAGAGGGAGCAAAAAATGTGGACTGTATGGCAGGGAGCAAAAACGTGGACTGTCTGTGGGTCCCAGAGAACTGGTTTGAGAAACACTGGCTTAGACTAGCTACTGTTTTAAGAAATAATACAGATCAAAATCAAGTTGAATACAGAATATCAGTGGAGGAAATGTAATGATTTTAAACCTATGCTGGTCAATAAGCCCTTGCAGTAATGAGGGTAATTTAAAAATGTTTAAAATTGAAAACGGTAGGTTAGATGAAAGTCAGCATACTAGCATGACTATATTTAAATTATATAATTCTATAAGTTATATAATATATACTTATAATTAGGCAGACACTTTTGTCCAAAATGGCACACCACAAGATAAAGGTTCCAAGTTTTGAATATATAATGTAATAAAGAATTAATCACACACACAGAAATTTAATTCTCTTAAATCTATGGGTGGATACTGTCTCTTTAGTGACTGTGAGAAGTGTATCATTGTCTCGTGTCTGGGCATGTGAAGGTGTAATCCACAATGACACGAGTCTAAGCATGTTCTGTAAAACCCATGCGACTGCTGGACACCAGAAATGACAAACGGACACATATGTAACCTCAGGTTTTTTCACCTTTAAAATAGCCAGGGCTCCTAAGCGGAGCTGCCTTACCTCCAAGCTCTGCGAAGAATAATGTGCCTAAATTTGTAAACTTCACAGAGAAATAAATAGTGAAAAAACACCTTACAGAAAGTGCAGCTGGACACAGAGTCAGGCAATAAGCCGACCACCTCACCGTTGCTTGCTAAGAGGCAGGCCCCACTGCCTTCTCTCCCCTTGCCAACACGCTCCAGGTTGCTAGGTGATGGTGGAGCCCGTCGGCGGCTGTGTGGGGCTGTGCCATTTTCACCCACCATCCTTCTGTAAAACACAGAGCAGGAGCTCAACAGGAGCCATGTGACCTCAGTCTAACCCTTAGATGCAGCCCCAAGGTGACCTCAGCCTAACTCCCAGATGCAGCCCCCAGGTGACCTCAGCCTAACCCCCAGATGCAGCCCCCAGGTGACCTCAGCCTAACCCCCAGNCCCAGATGCAGCCCCCAGGTGACCTCAGCCTAACCCCCAGATGCAGCCCCCAGGTGACCTCAGCCTAACCCCCAGATGCAGCCACCAGGTGACCTCAGCCTAACCCCCAGATGCAGCCACCAGGTGACCTCAGTCTAACACCCAGATGCAGCCCCCAGGTGACCTCAGCCTAACCCCCAGATGCAACTTTATTTAGCAGATGCTTTTGTCCAAAAGTGACACACCACAAGATAAAGGTTGAGAGGCTTGAATATATAATGTAATAAAGCATTAATCACACACACAGAAATAAAACTGCAATAAAATTGTCTTAAATCCACGGGTCACTTCACAGAACACATCTTCACTGCTCCTGAGTCCAGTGGCATTGTGAGTCACCCCACTACATCCAATGCTTAGCATTGTGTTTATTGATGTGAAGCTTGCGTGCAGCTGCTCGGCCATGGAAGCCCATTCCATGAAGCTCCTGGTGCACAGTTTTTGTGCTGGGCTTAATGCCAGAGGGAGAAATTCAGTCAACAGAGCACTGGCGACTTTTACGCCCGATGCACCTCAGCACTTGGTGACCCCGCTTTGTTCCTTTACACCTCATGGCTGAGCTTCTGTTGTACTAAACACTTCCACTTTGCAAAAATACCACTTTCAGTTCACCAAGGAATATCTGTGGCATTGGGTCCAAGTGAAACACCAGAATTTAGTGTGACCCAATACCTTTGTCCATATAACGTAAAAAACATAGTAAAAAAAACCCTTGCATTGACCTTGAATCAACCCCAAGATCGAGTAAAATTTTTATATTTTAAACATGATCTCTCAAGGAAATATATACATATAAGTATACATTATTCATAATCTTAATGTTTCTCCTTTAAAATGCCTCAAACTTTCATTGGGCTACACATCTGTAATCGTAATCCTGATGTAAGACGCCAATGAAAAAATAAGCATACACATAAACACGGGTTAATACCGCATCATTGAATTAGCCACCAGACCAGCTGATCGTCCTTCCTGACTACGCATTCAGATCGGCTCTCTTTGGACAGGTTAAATGGACATGAAACTCTTTCAATCATGAACGAGCACACCACTTGTCTAAATCATTGACTAGTTAAAACACGACGAGAGACGCACTGCTAATCTGTTTTCCTTTATTTTGGGAGTGATTTATCGGCATGTTTGATACAAGTATCAGCCTTTGTATCTTTGAAGTGACTCGTTCTGTAATCTAGGCATGCGTTTGGTCGATAACGTTTTGCATAACTAGCTCCAGCATTACTAATTCTAATCCAATGCTTCACTGGTTTATGCAAATCCAGCATCGTTGAAGTACGTGCCCGGTTAGTTGTTCACATCTCTGCGCGATATGTTCTGTTCCATATACTTACTTTAGACAGAATTATACTGTAATGTATGATGAACGGGCCTGTGCACTAACTGTCTTTTCTGACAGTAAATCTCGCCGTCATGCAGTGAGAAATGAGCGACAAGGTGCTGCTATTTATTTATATCGCAGAGTGTGAGGTTTATAGTTACAATACTACAGAAATCTCAAGGGTGAATATCTTCATTACTTCGGAAGCAAACATATCACCATACGTAGCCAGTACTCAAATAATAGCACGTTGTTAGTATTGGTGAAGATCAAACGCATCGCTCCTAATTAAGGGTACAAGTGCATTACGTACACAGATAGATTATAGCACAGTACGGTAGTCCCATGACTGCTGCTACCAAATAAGTATTTTAGAAATCAGCAGGTTTTTAGATTCCAGTTTACCTCAACATAACATCAGGCTGCCCACTGCACGACAAATAGACGAAACCGTTATGCATCTTCGATTGACAGATTTACTTCGCAAACCGAGGTAGTTAGAGGTAGACTTGCCAAATCACAAACAGCCTTCGGGGAAGTTTAAGGCCAGATCTGCGTGGTTTTAATCAGATACTCACGTGTCGCGGCGCATGTATTTATTCTCCCTAAAAAATGTCAGCTTGAATGTAAGTGTCCAAAAAGTAAAAAGCCAAGGTTACACAGAAGCGCCCGATGGTTCCTTTTCACAGCAGAAACATTAGGTTATGAGGTCTGTTTGGGAAATTGTGTGGATCGCTGGAAGAAGTCACTCTTTCCTGATTCACAGCTCCGCCTTCACCGGCACGCAGACAGCCTACTCACCGCTAGAGGAACATCATCATGTTTTACGTATGTAAGAGCGCAACGCTTATGGTTACTTTCATTCATTAATAATTGCTTAGTAAATGACACACAAGAAAATCAAGCAAGAGCGGTATAAATACGTACTTCTATTTCAGAATATGTAATTTTTTTCTCTAATAATTTGTCAGCTTCCATACTAATTAGGCTAGTTTGAGCAGGATAAAGCCGGTTTGGATGTAAGATTTTTAGATGTTAATTTGATATAAGTATGGCATGTTAAGCCGTTCCATTACACATGTTATGAACTCCATGCAGTATCAACAGCTGAAACAGAAAGTGAAGGGAGGATGGGGACCTTTTCCTAAGATAATATGCACCCTATTATATTTACAAGGAATTATCCGTTTTCATCAGACATGAAAAGAACCCTTCAGTTCATATATCTTCATGTCACATCAGTGCAGGTTTCCAGCATGGTTACAAGCTTCGGCAAACTTCTTATTGACTTTTCATTGGAAGTCATCCCTCTGCGCGAATACTACCGGTTTTACGGTCGTAAACTTATTCACTCAAATCTTTGTTAAATGGCATAATATGGTTTCCACTTCAACCTGAGAATGTTCTTTAATATCTAAAGTTGCCGCACAGAATTTCATCCAATTGGATGGTGGAAATTAGGGGTTACAGAGGCAGTCGTAGGAATTTTTCACTGGGCGGCATTGGGATGGCGAAAGTACGTCTAGAGGTGGCTGCAATGTGTTGTTAACTAACGCGCACGCACAGCGCGAAGACGTTTTTATATGCATCAATACTCTGTTAATAATAGGCTAAAACGTAAATTAATAAACTAAATGCATGCACAAAATTGTTGATGGTCAGTCTCCTTTTTTAGATAACCTTTATAGTCAAGTAGGCAATGATTAAGAATGACAAATATATAGGACCTTTTCTGTGTTCATTTGCAAAATTTAAGGCTAAGTAGTTAAATGCTTTATATAAGCAAAACATCAAACTATTTATTCTGTATAAAAACTGTATAAATGATGCAGGAATGTATCACAACACACCCATGTAAAGAGCCTTGCGGCGAACCTGCTGTGAAAGGTGCTATATAAAAAATAAATTGAATTGAAAAACTGCATTGTGCAATACCTGGGTTCTATATTCATCTAAATGAACTCAAAATGACTAACTTTAATTACATAATATACCATTCATTATAGCATATTGTATACTGGTATAATAGGACAATTAGCCTGTAAAGGTTTTAATTAGCCTTGGCGTCAGAACAGGCTCAGAGTCATATGTTTGTGTGTGTTTGTGCGTGTGTGTATGGGGGGGGTTGTTACATTTTAAACTCACAGAGAGTAATATTGATAATACTGCTATGACAATGTTAAAACGGCAACTGACAGGCACTCATTAGTGACGAAAATTAGAAAATGATATGTCAGAACCATGGGCAGTACAACCACCCTGGAGTCTGTTTTATGTTGTGTATTGTAATTTTAGTTTGCACAAGTAAGAACATGCATATAATACAAAGTCAGTGGTTGCTGAAAGAAAACAAAACATATAAAGATGATGTCAATCTCAAGAAAGCTAAGAAACCTGTCAGAAAAACTGAAGTCTGTGCCACTGTGCCATCTATGTGTCGTATGTAAATTACTTTCTAATGTACATTTTCCCACATTTATTTAGATTTGCTCTCAATAGCCTACAACTGTATGCTAGTCTGTCACAAAATTGACAAAACATTAATCAACGTGGAATGAATAAATCTTAGTTCAGCTTTATTTTTTTTAGATTGTATAAAATATTTACATAGGCTTATTTATTTACTTTTGCAAACTTCCCATCCTAATATTATGTCTTGTTTATATTGTACATTAACTGTTTTTTGACTAATAACTATAAAGTTATTATTGCTGCCTTGGAAAGGGTGCAACGTAGGGCTACAAGAATGATTCTTGGTCTTAGAGGAATGTCTTATGTTAGTTGAGCTGAATCTGTTCAGCCTCGCGCAAAGGAGATTAAGTGGGGGACATGATCCAAGTATATAAGATTTTAACAGGTCTGGATGCTATTCAGCCAAATGGCTACTTCAATATTAGTTTAAATCAGGGGTCTCCAACTCCGGTCCAGGAGAGCTACTATCCAGTAGGTTTTCTATCCTACCTGGCTTCTGATAAACCACACCTGCTCCTGGTATTTACCTGAGAACTGGTGTGATTCATCCGAAGCCAGGTAGGATAGAAAACCTACAGGATAGTAGCTCTCCTGGACCGGAGTTGGAAACCCCTGGTTTAAATACTAGAACTCGTGGCCATAGGTGGAAATTAGCGGGAGAAAATTTTAAACTGAATTTGAGAAAACACTTTTTTACACAGCGTGTAGAGTATGGAATACTCCTGCTAGTATAGTGCAAGCTAAAACCCTGGATTCCTTTAAATCAGAGCTAGATATGATTTTAACAACTATTACTTAAGTTCTTCCCAAACGAGCTTGATGGGCAGAAATCACCTCTTAGGTATTAACAAGGTTTAGCATACACAGAAAAAGGCAAAAATGATCAGTGCATATCTCTGCTTGTAGATATCAAAGTTTGGTGATTAAAAACTGCCTGGCTCACTTGTTGAAAGATTACAACCAGAAGACTGAATAGCGAATATACAGTTAACTTTACCACAGTCAAAGGATTCTCATGGACAAGCCATTTTGAGAGTTTGGGAAAGTCCATCCATTACTTTGGGTAATATACCAACTTCTCTTTAATTGGTCCAAGCACTGTTTGAGATCCGTGATCCTGAAACCTAATCTGCTCCAAAGCAGTTATGCTCTGTAGCATGAAGTACCATGGTGATGTATCCCCATAATAAGATAGCCAGCGTCAGGTTGGGGAGCATGCACTGATGCAGCATGTTGCTGCACCCACCACATAGCGAAACTCCTCGGGATCCCAGCCGACAGTCCCCCCAGGCATATACACGGTCCAGTCCCACCATCCGAAAATGGCCATCCTGCCAGAGACAGATGTTTCGTGGGCGTCCCCTTGGCCTAATCCAGTCACTTGGGTCCTCAGTAATGAGGATCCTGCGAGCCGGATCACCCTCAGAGAAACACGCCACATGGCCATAGTGCCGTAACTGAGGCTCCCTCACAATCAAGGTAATTTGCCTCATTTTTGGACTCCTAGCAACCGCTAGTCAAACCAGTGGTACCCAAGGATTCTCCAAAGAGACACAATACCGAAAGAGTCCAGTCTTCGTCTCAGCTCAGGACAGCATCCATGTCTCACAGCCATACAGCAAGACAGGGAGCACCAAGACTCTAAAGACTTGGAACTTTGTCCTCTTGCAAAGGTATCAGGAGTGCCACAGACCCCTTTCCAGCAACCTCATGACCCCCCATGCTCTTCCAATCCATTTGCTGACTTTATATAGGAAGAGTCACCAGAGACATGAATGTTGCTGTCGAGGTAGGTAAATCTCTCGACAAGGTCAGCATTCTCCCTGCAGACAGAAACACCACTGATGGCTGTGCCTAAGAATTCATTAAATGCCTGGATCTTGGTCTTTATCCAGGATACCCGCAATCCCAGACACTCTGACTCCTCGTTCAGTCTCGAGAGCCCCAATCAGAGCCTCCATTGACTCCGCTAAGATCACGGCATCGTCAGCAAAGTCAAGACCAGTAAATCTTTCTTCACCAATGGACGCCCCACAGCCACTGGACCTCATGACCCTATCCAACACCCAGTCCATACAAGCATTGAACAGAATAGGAGCAAGAACACACCCCTGCCAAACCACAGAATCAACTGGGAATAACGAAGAGGTTCTCCCTCCACTCTGCACAGCACTCACAGTACCAGTGTACAGGCTGGCCATGACGTCCAGTAACTTCGGGTGGATCCCGCACAGTCTCAGAATGTCCCACACGGCAACGATTTACGAAAATCGACAAGGCTGCAAAGAACCTCTGCCATTATTCGCACTTGTGCTCGATGAGAACCCTCAGTACAAGGATAAGGTCAATGGCAGACTTTTTAGGCGTAAAACCAGACTGTTCCGATCGCTGTCAGGCAAGCAAGTGATCACAGATCCTGTTAAGGATGACCCTAACAAGGACCTTACCCGGCACTGAAGGTAGTGTTGTCCCCCTGTAGTTGACACAATCCAGGCGATCACCCTTCCCTTTCCAGACAGGGACTACAAGTCCCATTTTCCAGTCAGTTGGGATGATGCCTGACTCTCAAATGGAAGCAAAGATTGCCTGCAATACCAGGAGGACAGCCTTACCACCAGACTGGAGAAGTTCACCCTGGATACCACAGATCCCTGCGACCTTCCCTGCCCCCAGCTGATTCACCACCCATGCAATGTCAGTGAGATTGGGTGACTCACAGCTGATCAGAGGATCAGCTTCAAGAACCATGGATATCCAACATCCTAGCTGGAGGGTCAGCTTTAAACAACTGCTCAAAGTAGCTGGCCCAGTGGGTCACAACAGCAATGTTATCCGTAAAGACCGTCCCATCACCCGCCCTGATTGCAAGTCTCCGAGTAATGCTTAGATTCCTCTGTAAGCAGGACGTGGGTCACTAGACCACAGATGGTGTGTCACCTGCTCACAAATTTGTCTAACAAACCCCTCCTCATCTGCCCTCAGAGCCCTCACAGCCATCCTTCTCAGTTCCCAGTACAGAATGGAGTTGCCACTAAGTTCTGTGCTGCGACTCCTCTCGATAATATCCAGGGTGCCCTGCGAGATGAAACACCTCTTTCTGGGAACACTGGAAACACCAACACAGCCCTCAGCAACCTCCAGGGTCTTATCACGGAAGCTCTCCCACATCACATTAGAATCAGTAGTTGCACCTAAGTTCCTCACACAACTGCATGCAAACTCATCAGAAACCGCTTGATCTTGATCCTGTAGCTTGAAGATCAGCCTCATTCTCCTAGTAGCTAGTAGCGTACTGAATCTATGCTGAATCTTCAGAGTAGCAACCAACA